TATTCTTAAAAGTCAAATGCCTTCCAAGGTAATTTAACTTGATTATAATTCAGACTCCAACTCCATTTTCTATTTGGTTATTCGTTGCAAGCAAAATGAATCAATCATATAAATTGGTGCATGGTTGTGGTTGAGCTTTTACTTAAGATAGAACTTGTGCATCTGATAGTTATAGTAAAATAAGGCAATGATAGTCTCTATGTTCATCTAATTGGTGCTTTGATTGAATTGCAGGACAACAACAAATGCCTTTTAAGGTAAACAAACTTCGTTATAGTTCAGACTCCGTCGCCTCCAAGAAACTGTCACTACGTAGGTAAACCAATGTCCAGACCTCTCCTACGGCCACCTGCCAGATGATGAGTCCCAACAACGTCCAAACTCCGTGCTTCTCCTTTGTTCTCTACCGATCAACTTCCGTCTACTTCAGCGACATCCTCATAGTACATATAATATCTCCAATTTTTAACAGTGCATCTACTCGTAGGGGTGTGAATCGGTCAAACTTGGACCGAACAGGAAGCATATAAGGACTTATTAATGCACCTAGGACCAGACCTAATTACCTATGGACTGGACCGGGCTTGGACCGGTAATATCCAATCCGGCATGGGACCAGCCGAATAAGACCCGTTTCGAAATTAGATGTTTGACGACATGCGTAAATGACTAATAGTTTTTTGTTCGTTTTGACCACAATTAGTGCTATATGCATGGGCTGAGCCTCATTCATGACAATAAGCTCTAATGAACGAAGAAAAGAATTTATTTTAAAAAACTAACTTAAAGGTTCTATAAAATTAGGGAAAACACAGTGAATAAACAATGGTTTTCGAGAGATGAAAAAAATGTAATCTATTGCGGGATTGAGGGTGTATGGTAATATTTGGATTGCTATGGTGTGTGCGTGTGTGTGTCTTTATACTCCCTCCGTCCAACAATAAAGTTCCTGGTTTGACTAATGAGTTATAAAAATTCTGTTGACTTTCCTGTTATACGCCTACGCCTTTACATCTCTCCATCAGTCACCATTTGTCATCGTCAGCATCGTCAATGCTAATGATGATTCTCCGGCGCTGCTGACGATGACTCTATGGCACGGCAACGATGTCTCTACGGCACCACCGCAAATGACTTCTCTAACTCTTGTTGCCGACATCCCTCGGTAACTCTCCACCCTCATAGATCTGGTTCTGTGGTGAAGGTGATAGGAAACCTTGGCAAGGATGAATGATGAATCTCTTGCATCCAAGGTTTTGACGGTGAAGGCAAGGAGGGATTTGTTGATCTATGGAATCATTTGCGGCTATGTCGGAGGAGGAGCAGATCTGACCACCCTATAACTTCCGACCACCGCCACCGCCTTGCTGCTCTGCCTTTACCCCAATCGCCGCTTCACTGCTCCCAATCATTGGGTGACAGGACAAAATCAGAAGGAAGAGGAAAAGGAGAAGAAAGAAGAAGAAGAAGAAGAAGTAGAAGAAGAAGAAGAAGAAGAAGAAGAAATTCAGACACTTGCTATCCCTAATTCACTAAATCAGAACCTTTTCTGGGCACATTCATTCAGTTCAACGACACAAATCAATGCCAAAATATTTTAACAACAATAACCATAGATCATCAAAAACCTCTTTCTAGAGCCAAAACTTGGTGTGAGTGTGAAAAAGGCAAAGGAAATCCTCTCTCTCTCTCTCTCTCTCTCTCTCTAAATAGCAGGAGTTCACAACACAAAGATACAGATAACTCTTCGAACTCTGTCCTCATCATTTCCTCCTTCCGGTTACGCTCCTCTCCTTGGGAGCGCCAGCTGGTTTTGCCATTACAATCTGATCCAGTCGTAGCACAGTGCAGATATCTCCCACAACATATTTGAGAGCAAAAAACTTGGGGATGTAGAGGCCCCTTATATTCATGGTGGTGACATCCTTGCATGCCCCCTTCTTCCAAGCAGATGCCTACTTTGGTGTTCCCAGATGCATGCTCGGAAAAAGTTTTAAGAACCATTTCAAAGCTTTCAGTAAACTTGGCAACTAAATTTGCAACTGCTCCAAATTGTTTGTTGGCAACTCCAACTTTCATTCTAGGAACAACTTCTTCTTAAAACGAGAACCTTAACACTTGAATCAGCAACTGGTCCAAATCGTTTGTTGCCAACTCCAACTTTCATTCTCATTGATTGCCTTATTGGAGGCCAAAGGACAAACAAAGAAGTGCAAATTGTTAGGGCAAATAATAAATAAGCAGGCCATTGTGGTCGTGAAGCGGTGTAGAGGTGAAGAAGAGCAAGGTAGTGGGGTAGTTATGTGGAAGAGATGTCGTGAGAAGAAAACAGTAAGAAAGCAAGAGACGGCTATAAATGAGAGAAAGATGGAGGGGACAGAGAAAGTCTTAAATGTAACAAAGTAAACATTATAGCGCCTTATTGTATTAAGGGGTATGTAGAAATTAGTGTGTGTGTGTGTGT